TCATTAACACGGACGTATGTAAGTTGCCTTTGCCTCATCGGTGCCCAGCAACAATGTGTCCAATCCCATTATTAATTGGGACGTGTAGATGGAGTAGTGACCTCGCCTCGGCGGCACTTGGCCAGAGTTCCTTCTAGCCTCACCGGTACTAGACGAAGATGATCACATATAGTAGAAAATCCGCAACAAATTAGCGGTATAAGTATTGCTTGGACGATGCTCTCTCATGAGATCAAATCGACAGCCTCCCGGTGTCGGTATTTTATAACGAAACGAGGCATTCTCATCTCGTGTGTCTCGAGCGGGGCAGTGCTGACTCGCGCATCCTCAACACGGCGAGTTTCTACCCACAGAGGCGGAGCTCGCGCCAGGCAGATATCATATCAAATCATCAAGCTCAGTGAGGGCGACCCCTCGCTGTAATTACCAGCGTCCCGAGCTCATAAAGCAATCTGATCTGGTCAATACGGCCTCTTCGCCGAGTTCGGAAGAGGCCGATAACAGCGTCTATTTAAAGACAGATTATATAGACTAGGGGGTCCAAGGACCCCCCCTCTTCACGTCTTAAAGGTGTCCCAACACGTTACAAGACCCAACAGCTCAAAAAACAATGACACAGCGCTCTGACAGATTCTGGACGTCAACTTGTTTCGACGGGTCATATCCGATGATGTCACGTCCTCATTTGGCGTGCGTGCGTGCGTGCGTGCCCTCCAGTTAGACTATGGTGGACCGTGCCTCTATGTGTACTTTAACACAAGAATACTATGCATTATACTTGCGATAATCTGCTATGCACCGAGTGTTCATTATTCAAAAAATGGATTAATTAATAATAACACACTACTATATAGACAGTGATTTTAGATTTATATTTTAAAATGTATATATCTGAATATTCTTGAATATATATTATTTTTCAGTCTATGGGAAAATGTTATGTTTTATCCGTAATTTATTATTAGTTGATCCTAACACTGGAAGTAGCAAAGGAAAAAAAATATAGATTTGCTATTGTTTTAACTTATCATGTGTTCTTAAGGTACTAAATAATGTTCGTAGCAACTATAATTGCTCCCATAAAAACATTATAGTAGGATATATAGTAAATGGTACCATTACAAGGTAACATTAAGAATAACAAATTAGAGTCATTAATGGTTACTAAAGAGTTTTTTAGACGCATATTATTTTTCTATCACCAACAGTTGGAGGGTTGGAGGTGACTAGGAGCGAAAGTTCAGCGTTCCATGTAGGATAAATGATGCAGTTTAGCTGAAAATAAAAATTTGAGGACTGAAATGTACTTTAATAGTTCATGGATGAAATTGTGCTCAGAATATAAAGTTTGTGGACTGAAATGGTTACTTTGATCGTCCTTGGATGAATTGAGCAAAAAAAAAAAAAAAAGTTTAAAGACTAAAACAACCATTTTAAAAGTTTTGAACGGAACTAAGCCTCAATCAATAATTTAGGAACTAAAATGCCTATTCTACCATACTTTTATGTGACAGTAATAAAAGTAATATGTATTCCTATCTATCGCGAGTGACAGGCAATCAGTCGATTTCTACCAGAGTACTATAGCATGGTAATTTACACGATCCTGTCATACTAGTAAGATTCATAGGATAAGCAATATGTATGCAGGTGGATTCCATTCAACTGCTCAAAAGTTAATGCACAACAACATAATATAAGTGCTGAAAAGTAGAGGTTATCTACCGGGGCTTACCTGGGTAAATAGCATAATAGAAAGTTAGTATTCCAATCTTCAGGATGATCACCATTATACCATCTTCCCGTTCCACGCGAGCATCCTTCAGTTGATCCATTGGTTTATCATCATTCCTAAATGATATGCAATATGCTTAAGTGAAACATGCATACACAAATTAAATTCCATATACAAACTTTATTATTTTTGGATGATATTTTTAATGTAGCCTTATTTTGGTGTGTTTCACATACTGTGATTTTTCCGTCGTTTTTAGTAGCCTTCAAGTGTATGAACAATTTAACTAGTTTTAACTTTATCATTTTTATACTAGGGACAATACGGTCACTTCACTGCATTTGGAGTATGGACACGACCTCTATAATTCAAACATAGGAAACCTTAAAAAGATATAGATATAAACCTACAGTAAAAACTTTGTACTGAGACATGTCATATTATGTATTCATTGCATAGATCTACTTAACGTGGAGCTCAACAGAACTTGAGTATTTTCAAAGATCAGCCGATTTCTACGTAAAAGAAAAAGAAAAACATATATAAGACCAGCGCTTTGCATCTAGGCCCCTCAGCCCCTCATCTTTTTCTCTGCACGACCCCGACCAACGTTCGGTCAAATTGGCTCGCAGTCGCAGCGGCAGTAGCCACCAGGTGCCCGCATGCAGCACAGGAATTGAGGACTGAAATGCATTTCCATAGCTTATGGATGAAACCAAGCCATCAGGGATCGCAGAGGCGCGTGCGTTTGCTGCTTCGGGCGGGGCCCGTGCATGCACCTTGCTTCGCCAGACAGAGAGAGAGAGAGTGGAGTGGACTCGTAGGGGCCGTGCGCATGCATGCGTGGGGACCACGACGGCAGGAGAAAAGGCGGAGGCGTGAGTGGCCGTGTCATTTTCACCGTGTTTTTTCATCCATTTTTTTCAATAAATAAATAATATTTTTCTCTTATAAATTTCAACGAAACAGGACCTTTGTTTCCTGGTTCGCAAGGCAGGCAGAAGAAACTTGTCTTGTTTCCTGGTTCTCAACGTTCATTAGATAGATCATAAGTCCGTGATAAAAAATAAAGTTACTACTTGACCATACTACTTGATAAAAAAGTTACTTTGTGACAGTGACCATACTACTCTGAAAAAAAGTTACTCCATTTATCCCTAAATATCTATTGTTTTTGTTTTCTAAGAAACAACTTTAACTAAATAAATATTAAAAAAATATTAATATTTATGGCATATAATTTTTTTTGAAAGCTATGGCACATAATTAGTATTATTGGAAAGGTATTTGAGTCTAGTTTTTTAATAAATTTATTTGGATATACAAATATTACACGTATTTTCTACAAATCGAGTCAGACTTGTGGCACGTACACCAACGGTGATAGTTATTTTGGGACCGAGGGAGTACTACTTGACCATGCTACTTGATAAAAAAAAGTTACTATGTGACAATGACCATACTATGCACTCTGTAAAAAAATTACTACTAATGACAAATTAGAATTGTTAACGGCTGCTAAAGAGTTTAGATGCATATTATTTTTCTATCGCTAATCGTTGGTGGAGTTGCATGTAACCAGGCACGACAGTGCAGCCTTCCATGTAAGGATAAATTGAGCTAAAAATAAAAGTTTGTGGACCGAAATGTATTTTGATAGTTTATGGATGAAACCAAGCCATTCTAAAGTTTGAGGACTGAAACAAGCATTTTAATAGTCCTAGGATGAAATTAAGGCAAAGGGTAAAGTTTAAGGATTGAACCGACCATTTATAAAAGTTCAAAAACGAAAATAAACCTCGAGCAATAGTCTAGGGACTAAAATAGCTATTCTGCCATACTTTTATGTACAAATAAAACATGCGATGCGCTATGTGACGTTACATGGCTGCGATGATTAATCCATGCATAGTAGAACAAACGAGCGTGCTACTTTCAGGGACGACCGGCTTAATAAGACCGTTCTAATGGTTGATAGCTCAGTTTAATTTAGTGATTTGGGTGGTTCCTTGTAGGAATGGAGTGAGGTGTAGTAGGGTGAGTAGCACGAAGACCCCTGTGTAGAATGATTTTTGTTAAAAAAAGTAAAAACCATTATGAAAAAGCTTCTAAATTTTTGTAACTTTGTACAACTCTAGGTGTGACGTGTTATATATTTTTTGCAATTTTTTATCAACTTATGATTAGCTGCAATAGCATGACAAGGCAAGTTTTTTTGTCTTACTATTTCATTGTCCCTTAATATTGTATTTTTCATATTGATCAAGTTTGAACTTAGATACTTGCATGCATTTACATTTTAGAACATGATCTTGCCCTGAGTGTGCAGAGATTCAAATTTCCTAAAAGCTTCTAGGTATGTTTAACAATTTTACTTGAATATGTGTCAAATATTTCATAATACTGTATCAGGATTTAGGAGTAAAAACAAAGAATACTTTATTTTCTGGTGAATGATAATTTCAGCTGACAACAGTTAATTACCAAAAGAACCTAATTCCTCCTTTCTTCTGTGAGGGCTACTGGGCTAGGGGAACTTTTATTGTAAAATAAAACAATAAGAAAAATATTATACAGCATGTGTGTTTGTTGTTCACTATTCAGGCCGGGTCCGGCCCAGCATCCCACACCGAAGCGTGGTCCGTTTCATGTTCGGCCGCGGGCTGAACCGAGGCCGTCAAGCGCGCGCCGCCCACGCGTCCCGCGCCAGCTCGCCGCGTGGCCGCCGTCTCCTCTCCCCACCCGGAGTGCCTCGCCGTCGGCCGCGTGGCCAAAAAGCGCTCCCACTCTCGGCAACGCACTAGGACTAGGAGACCGAGACGCCCGAGCTCCGAGCAGAGCACGCCGTCCCTCTCAGCCTGCCTCTCCTCTGTGCGGTGCCCCTTCTCCTTTCTCCAGCGCCCCCAGCGCCCGTGCACAGTGTGCACTGGCAGTGCACACGCCCGCCGCCCGCGCGCGCCGTCAAAGCTGCCCCCAGCCACCAACTCTCGCCGCCCTCCAACCTGCTGCCTGGTCGCCGTGCAGCGGAGCGGAGACCAGGGGATCGATTCCCCTCCCTCGGTAAGACGGAAGAACCCTCGCTCGCTCGCTATCTGTCACGGATTTGTGGGGGCATTGGGGTTTCATCCCGAATTACCGAACCCGAAATCTCATCCCTCTTTCTCTCCCTCACCATGTCGTCGTGGATTTCTCATTGCATTGTGCGGCAAGTGATTCGCCGAGAAACTTGGGGACGCTGACCTGAGGCCGGTCGCTCGCACAGAACATGGCAGCATTGGCAGCAGCAGCAGCGGTGGTGTCGCAAGAGGCAGACGCCGAGTTCCAGATCTACGCAGTGGACGGGTACTACTTCGAGTCCTCCAGGAAGGAGCCCGTCTGCTTCTCTACCCTGCCGCTGCGGTTCGGGGACGCCGCCGCCGACGTTCCCGAAGGCAACAAGCGGCTGTTTCTGCGTGGATTTGCCGGCCGGAGGCTCAGGGTGTGTAAGAGGGTGGTGGCCTGGAGGCTGGAGCTCGATGGCGAGCAGCCCGAGTTCTTCGTGCTCCTCTCAGCAGACAGCGGAGGCTGGCTGCGGCTCGCGAAGGCCAGGAAGCTCTACGAGCGCACGGCCAGGACTGTGCTGATGACGGCGCAGGCGCTGCATTTCCTCCGAAGGAATCCTGATGGGCCGGAGACAGCCCTATGGATCCATCTTCGCCAAGCTTTTGGGTACCTCGGCAATTCCCCGGTCGCTCTGCCGCGTTTGTTTCTTCTTTTGTTGTAGATGGTGAACCCTGAGTCTTACAGATTTCTCTTGTTTTTTCTGCAGCAGGTTTTGGCCTAGGCCCTCAGAGCATGACTTCAGGAACCAGACCTCACTGTCACTGATGACGCAGCTCGCGGCAACGGATCCTGTCTTGGCAACTTCAGAGGTATAATAATCTGCTCCACTCTTGCTATCGGAATTCTCAATTGTGTTTTTTAGTATATATATACTATAAACTATACAGCACAGCTGTGAGGGGTTAACTACATAATAACCTACTAGGTGGCATTGTAAGGCCTGGTTTAGTTTCCAAAAATTTTCAACCCAAACTATCACATCGAATCTTGCGGCATATGCATGGAGTATTAAATATAGACGAAAAAAAAACTAATTGCACAGTTTGGTTGGAAATTGTGAGACGAATGTTTTAAGACTAATTAGTCCATGATTAGCCATAAGTGCTACAGTACTAACATGCGCTAATGGTGGATTAATTAGGCTTAATAAATTCGTCTCGCAGTTTCCAGGCGAGCTATGTAATTAGTTTTTTTTATTAGTATCCGAAAACCCCTTCCGACATCCCCAAAACATCCGATGTGACATCCAAAAATTTTCATTTCGCGAAGTAAACACAGCCTAAATTAGAAAATTGAACACCCAAGTCGAGGCGAAGAGAACTTAAACTTAGGTGGTGGGCCGGGGGTGTACACCCACACCTCCCAACAACTGTGCTAGGCTCAGTTCCTGCTTATAACTACATTCAAACTTTGTTTGTCTTGAGCTAGGTTATGTCAACATTGTCCTTAATTTGCAACAAACAACATACTATCGCTCGAAGATTGTAACTGTAGCTCTCTGCCATTTCTGAGCTCTACTATCTTTTAGCTACAACTCTCACCCTTAGAGTCGCAGGCTTGGGTTTGTATTGCCATTAATTCTATGCTTGCTTTATGATGTTTATAATGTAATCTTAGATGATAATAACTTGTAAATGGACTGATCTGCACATGATATGCCTACCACAGGGCCTTTTGTCCTTCTCCCATCTCTATAATTAAAGAAAAAGTGATTGGAACAGCTTTTTGTTGTGCTTGATTTCTGTTGTTTGTAAGTTAATCTGGCCTGTTATGATGATTATTTAACTGATTTTGCCATGATTATTGTCTGATAGACTTTGCGAGCATTTGTTGAAAGAATATCTACTAAGGTATGTGTATGATTCTGCATAATCTTGAACGTTTTGGAAGACAAATTAACCACACGTTAATTGTTTCTCTTAATATAATTTTGACAAGGTTGGCGGTGCAGACACTATTGACATCGCCGACGAGTACTTCTTCCAAGCCAAGGACAACTACAAGTTCGTGTGCTTCTCCACCCTGCCGCTCCGGTTCAGGGCCACCGCCGCCGCCGATGTTCCCGAAGGCAACAGGGCGCTGTACCTGGCGGGGTGCACCGACGGGGGCGTCAGGCTGCACAAGGAGGTGGTGGCCTGGAGGCTGGAGCTCGACGGCGAACAGCCCCGGTTCTTGGTGCTCGCGCCAGCAGACGGCGGAGGCTGGCTGCGCCTCGCGAAGGCCAGGAATATCTACGAGCGCACGGCCAGGACGGTGCTGATGACGGCGCAGATGCTGCATTTCCTCAGGAGGAATCCTGATGGGCCGGAGACAGCCTTATGGATCCACCTTCGCCAAGTTTTTGGGTACTTCAGCAATGCCACGCTCTGTCGCGTTTGTTTGTTCTTTTTGGCAGATGGTGAGCTCTCTGAGGCAGGCTTACAGATTGAACTTGTTCTTCTGCAGCAATTTTCGGCCTAGTCCCTCAGAGGATGACTTGTGGAACCAGACCTCACTGTCACTGATGAGGCAGTTCGCGGCAACAGATCCTGTCTTAGCAGATTCAGAGGTATAATCTATTGCGCTCTTGTTATCAGAATTCTCAATCGTGTTTGTTAGTATATAGGGAGAGTATATTCAGTAGCCAGCTACAAAATAAGTTATTCTGTAGCCACCTCCATTTACGATAATTTTATATACTAATTTACGATAATGTCAATACATATTTATGATAGTTGGGTTACTATAACACATGAGGATATTTATCATAACGTTATAGTAAACCACTTAGTAAGGAGTTACTATAATCTCGTAAATTAACATAGTAATTATAACTCAAAGTAACTCAAAGTTATTTTGTAGCAGAATAATAGTTATTATATATATATATATATATATATAATAGTATATATATATATATATATATATATATATAAATATAAATTATATAGCACAGTTGTGAGGGGTTAACTACATAATAACCTAGGTGGCATTGTAAATTAGTAGAAAATTTGATACCCAAGTCGAGGCGAAGAGAGCTTAAACTTAGGTGGTGGGCCGGGGTTGTACACCCACACCTCCCAACAATTGTGCTAGGCTCAGTTCCTGCTTAACTACATTCAACCTTTGTTTTATGTCTTGAGCTGGGTTATGTCAGCATTGTCTTTAATTTGCAACAAACAACATACTCTTGTTCTAAAATTGTAATTCTCTGGCATTTCTGAGCTCTTCTATCTTTTAGCTACCATTTCCAGCCTTAGACTTGCAGTATTTGTTAACTTGGGTTTGTATTGCCATTATTTCGATGCTTGCTTCTTGATGTTTATACTCTTAGATGCTAATGACGTGTAAATGGACTGATCTAAACATGATATGTCAACCACAGCGCCTTTCGTCCTTCTCCTGTCTCTATAATTAAAGAAAAAGTAATTGGAACAACTTTTTGTTGTGCTTGATTGCTGTTATTTGTAAGTCAATCTGACCTGTTATGATGATTAGTTGACTGATTTTGCTATGATTATTATCTGATAGGCTTTGCGAGCATTTATTGAAAGAATATCTACTACGGTATGTGTATGGTTCTGCATAATCTCGAATGTTTTGGAAGACAAATTAACCACGCGATAATTGTTTCCTCTTAATATAATTTTGACTAGGTTGGTGGCGCAGACATTATTGGCATCGCTGACGAGTACTCCTTCCGTGCCAAGGACAACTACGAGCTTGTGTGCTTCTCCACCCTGCCGCTTCGGTTCGGGGCTGCCGCCGCCGATGTTCCCGAAGGCAACAAGGCGCTATACCTGTCGGGGTTCACCGCTGGGGGCCTCAAGCTGTTGAAGCAGGTGGTGGCCTGGAGACTGGAGCTCGATGGCGAACAGCCCCAGTTCTTGGTGCTCACGCCAGCATACGGCGGAGGCTGGCTATGCCTCGTGAATGCCTGGAATATGTACAAGCGCACGGCCAAGACTGTGCTGATGACGGCGCAGATGCTGCATTTTCTCAGGAGGAATCCTGATGGGCCGGAGATAGCCTTGTGGATCCACCTTCATCAAGTTTTTGGGTACTTCGATTCCCTGGTCGCTCTGTCGCGTTTGTTTCTTCTTTTGGTAGATGGTGAGCCTTGAGTCTTACAGATTTCACTTGTTCTTCTGCAGTAAGTTTTGGTCTATGCCCTCGGAGGATGACTTCAGGAACCAGACCTCACTGTCACTGATGAGGCAGTTCGCATCAATGGATCCTGTCTTAGCAAACTCAGAGGTATAATCGGTTCCCCTCTTGTTATCGTAATTCTCAATCGTGTTTGACTGTTTGTTAGTATATATGGCACAGTTGTGTCTTCAATGAGCGTGAAATAATCTCTGAGTTATGAGGGGTTAACTACATAATAACCTAGGTGGCATTGCACTTAAACTTCGGTGGTGGGGTCCCAACAATTGTGCTAGGCTCAGTTCCTGCTTAACTACATTCACACTTCGTTTTGTGTCTTGAGCTGCGCTATGTAAACATTGTCCTTAATTTGCAACAAACAACATACTCTTGCTCTAAGATTGTAATTCTCTGGCATTTCTGAGTTCTGCTACCTTTTAGCTACCATTTCCAACCTTAGACTTGCAGTATTTCATAACTTGGGGGGTTGTATTGCCATTTATTTGATGTTTATATATAATCTTAGGGATAATGACGTGTAAATGGACTGATCTGCACATGATGTGCCGACTATGGGCCAGCCTTTCATCCTTCTCCTATCTCTAATTAACTAGAGTGTTTGGAACATCTTTTTATTGTGCTTGATTGCTGTTATTTGTAAGCCAATCTGACCTGTTTTGATGATTATTTAACTGATTTTGCTATGCTTATCATCTGATAGGCTTTGCGAGCATTTGTTGAAAGAATATCTACTGAGGTATGTGTATGGTTCTGCATAATCTTGAACGTTTTGGAAGAGAAATTAATTGTTTCTCTTAATATAATTTTGACTAGGTTGGTGGTGGTGCAGACATTGTTGACATCGTTGGTGGTGCAGGCATCGTTGACGACGGTGCGGTCGTAAATGAGATTTTTGTTGACGATGCTCCATTCTAGGGTGAAGGATAAAAACGTGTATGAGCTTTTCTTTATAACTACGAGTCCTATGTGTTGAACTAATCGTATGCAATGATATTGCTATGTACCACATATGAAGTTTATCATATGTATGTTAAAACTAATCCTGGCAAACATATGACTGGTAGTATTTCTGTCAGCTTTGCAACGACCCTCAACTCTATTGTTGTTTGTCCATAATCCTTGGCTTTCTAATTGAGCTTGTTTCACGATTTGAAATCTGGTAGCAATATAGAAGTCAAATAAAGCCCAAATTTTTACAGCTGCTAGATAACTTAGTGAACCACATCTCTGCCAAATTTTGTGGTATTTGGATATGTACATTGGTAGATATGTATTTTTCTTTGAAGGGTACAGAATCTGCTAGAAAAGTGACAATTATTGGATCAAGAGTTACTTTAATTGCAAGGTCCTCAAGTTGAAAACATGTTTACAAGTGTTTGAAGTACCTAAGTTTGGTTTTGGATTGATCTAGAAGCATGACAAGCAAAGAGTACAAGAACATTTGATTGTGGAGTGTACTTGGCACACATTTGGTACTCAAATTGGAAGATCAAGATCAAACTTAAGATGAAGATAAGGTTTAAGTTCTAGTGACATTTGGAGATCATTTGGTAGAAAGAAAATGACTTAAACTAGTAGAAAGAAAGGGACTTGAAGAAGGATTCAAGATTACTCATCAAGTTAAGTCCATCAGTTGGATCAATCAATCAAGTCATTTCAATTGGGTATCAACAATGGTTCTTTAGAGAGAGGTCACTTCTTCCTAGTGTAAGGGCTTGCTGCCTTTTGTGGGAAAACCAAGTGTGGTACTTGAAAGGCTAACATGGAAATATTGATCTAATGAACATTTGAGATGCTTAGTTGAAGAAATCAAAATGATTGATCTATAGAGCAAGCAACACTCAAGAGAGCTAGTCGTGGCACTCCAAGTGGTATTCTAAGTAGTTCTCTCAAGCAAGCATTGATAGATGATGAAGCAAGCCAACCATAACAAGATAGTGCACTTGATCATGAGTGGTTCTCAATTCATATGGGTGAAGAATAGATTTCATATTGATAATTGGTCTTCACCAAGCTATTAAATCAGACTTCACATTGCTATTGGAGAAACGAATTGGAATCTATGTGACTATCATCTTCTCTAACATAGCAAATATATCATTGTAATGTGTATGATCATTTTTCATCCCTTACTAGTATGTGGTTAGAGCATATAGTACATGCTTATTAGGATCATGCATAACAAATGAAATTTTAAAATTCATAGCCTACTACTATTGCTTGAATGATTAGTTGATCTAGTGGTATGAGTATGAGTTTGTTCATGAGCTAGTAAACCCAAAGTATTTGATCTATTTTGGATTGCTAATAAGTGATAAGTATAACATTGGCAAGATAACCCTTGCAAAAGGTGTGAAGAAGCTTGCCATTGGATCAAACCGAACTTGAAAGCTTAGGCAAATCACTTTAGCTCAAGTCAAAGAGAAAGAAGCTCATGGAAACAATCTAGTTTAAGAAATGGTTATTATTGACAAATTCTACAAGTGGTTCCATGATTGTTCTTACACGTGGTAACACATCTCTACACATGGTATCAACCATACAAGAAGGTGATTTCACAAGTGATCCTCAACTTTAAGTGATCATCAAGTGAAGAATGATTTCCTCATCTACAAGAGCTCAAGATTATCAAGTGAATGACCCATGTTTGGACATAGGGGGAGGTGCTCCACCAATTGGTATCAAGATCATAAGATCCTACACATGGTGTCTAAAGAGCTATACAAGTGGTGTCCATAAAAAATGCAAGATTCAAGCCTCAACCATCTACCCTAATGAAAGCATTTGCATCAATGAGAAACACACCTTTTATGGAAATTGATGATAAAGGGGGAGAGATTGTACAAAGATATAAAAACTTTGGGAGAGATTGAGACAAAAAGTAGAGGTTGGACATGAAGTATGTAACACCTTCGGTGTTACACCATAAATTATTTACTAAAACATGTCATGAGCATCATGTTTATGTGTTAATACATGTAATAAAGTGTGTAGATCAATTTCCGTAACTCAAAACGATCAACAAAAATGCTAAACGAAAGTTGATTCAATAGTCATGTTATATCACTTAAGGTTGAAAACCAATTTTTATTAAGCAAAAATGCTATAGAACACATATGTGTTACCTTAATAAAGTTGGAAGTACAAACTTTATAGATGACAGTGAAATACTTGCGGTCGATAAATGATATTACTAGCTAATATTTCCACTAGCTTAGAAATCGTAAATGGAAATCAAATTTAGCTCAAAAACTTAGAAATTTTCAAGTCTGCCAACAGCTAGACATTGCTATGTTTAGTAATTTATTGTGAGAGATTGAGTTAAGGAGTGGTGTAGTGTTATAGCTCGATTTGGTAGTCTCATATGTCATCTTGTGCCTGATGAAGCGGTTTAGGTTTAGGAGCAACCGTTTGGTCGTGTTGAGCCCTTTCAAATTAAATGCGCATTCTTCGGTTTCGCTGGTTGGCGCGTGGCGCGATCACCGTGCTTTCGGCGCTCGGCGTCGCCATCGTTGGTCACGTGTCTTGTGGCCGACCGTGGTCGTCACCTCTCTGCTGGCCAGGGTTCACCGCCATCGCGGCCCGTCGTGCGGAGCCGCTCTTTGTTGTTGCCGCTTTGCCCGTCCGTGCTGCTTATTGTCGTCGTCGTCCGCCATCTTGCCTCGTGTTGCGACAGCCGCCACTACCATCGCATCGCGTCGCCGCGTTCATGCATGTATGCGTTGTAACATTGCACCACGCCGCCGCCAGCCGCCGCTTTGATGCCGCGCGCATGTGGTCGATGCTGCCATTGCCGTGTCAATTAATGACACCGTGGTCGCGCGCGTGCCTGTCGGCTAGTGCCGGCGCATGGGTCTCCCGATCTCACCGCTCGCGTCCCGCCAAGGCAAGGACGAGCCGAGCCGACCTGTCGTGCCGTCTCTCTCTTTCTTCTCTCTCTGCTTCCGCAGCCGTCAAGTCGCGGTCACGGTGAGCCAGAGAGTGAGCACCTCTCATCAATTCCTTGTGCTCGCATCTCTGCCCTCACGTCCCCTCTCCAGCCGACTTGACCCCGCCTTGATTGCGGCTCAGCTGAGCTCCAATTTTGGAGCTTTGCCCGCCACCGTGCCGTTAAGGCCGTCGCCGCCCACGTAGTCGCTAGCCTCCACCACTTCACCCGCGCAAATTCCTCTGCACCACTAGCTCGCCTTGGCTCCCTCTCCACCGTGCGCATGCTTGTGGGAGCGTTACCACCTCCCTGCTGCCGCTGACGCGGTCGTGTCCGCCACGGCTCGTCGCCGTGCTCGTCGCGCGCACGTGGCCAGCACTACTCAGGTAGTCGCCAGTCGAACCACCACTTCAGCTGGGTTGGCGGTGTGCCCCTGGTGCTTACCCCCTATCTCTACCGTCATGTTAGCACTGTGGCTCATCGAAACACGGTTGCCACCGTTGCAGGTCGCCCGCCGCCGGGGAGAGCTCGCTCTGCTTCACCCCCGTTCGTGCAACCACCGCCCATCGTCGCGCGTCGGCCCATAGGTGAGCATCGGTCCCCTAGATAGGTCAGCGTGAGTCCCGTGTGGTCGGTGCAAGCGCTAGTGCCACCGCTCGCCGTGCCGGAGCGTGCGGGGGAGGCCGGGGACCTTGCCATTGTAAAGAGGAGAAAGGTCTGAGGGTTCTTTTGCATAAGTGTTGTCTCTAGGAATAGTAATGTGGACTGCGGGTTGTTTTATTCGTAGTCCAGGGGCGTTTTAGTTAATATGCCAGCGTGCGCGCGGGCTCCCCGCCGTGGTCCGCCTTCGCGCGTGGGCCGCGCCCCGCGTGGGCCACGTTGGGCCGAAATCAGTTTAGCTTTTTCGTGGAAAATAGAAATAGCTTTTCATTTTAATTCTGAGATGAACTTTGGTAATTAATATAAAATAATGTAGATATCCAAAAATTGTGAAATAAATTTTGTTAAGTTTCTAAAATTGTGCTCTATCTGTTGATGTATTTAGTTCATATATATACTTGTCGATACCTGGAGCTATTAAATCATTTGAGAGTGCTTAATATTATTAGGTTAAATATTGTAGGAATTTTTGTGGTAGAATGGTGATAGCTTTAGCTTTGAAAATTTTACAATAGCTTTATTGTATTATTATGTGCTCACTGTAATTTTTGTAGACATAAAATAGACTATTTAATATGATAGCTAAATAACCATTAAGGCTAAATGAATAATGGCATGATATTGGTTTATAAAAATTTAAGCACTTGTAGGGTGAGCTTGGAATCTATTTGATAGAGATCATGATTAGCTTAGTATCTTAGTCGTTAGAGCTAGCTTAGTAGCTTAGTATGTGTATTCTTATTTTAAGAGTTGCTGGTGCCAAAATACTAAGTGTTGCATCATCATCGCATGCATGTAGAGAACGAGTTGGTGGAGTTCGTGACCGCCGGAGAGCAGGAGTATGAAGAGATGATCGAGGAGTACGTGGAGGAGGTCCTCATGCAGGAGGTCCCGGAGTCGTCACTGACTGACTTAGCTGACAATCCACCTGCCCAAGGCAAGCCCTAGTGCATAACCCTTATTTTGAATAATCACTAGATATATATATGTGATGTGCATTTACATTACATGCATTTTATGGAAACCACCTGCATAAATATGTTTGTCCTGTGAGTCCTACTAGTACAGGTGCGAGTAGATGCTATGCTTAGGTTTTTCGGTAGCATGAGTAACCTGTCGTTACTCATAATAGGTGATTATTACTATCACTCTCATGATAAAATGGTGAAAAGAAATGGAGACCGAGCAGGAATATGGTACGGGTATTGATGGGTGTAAGAGGTTGTGTCCCGTGACCAACGAGGCATAGCTTGGTTACACTGTTTTCCCTGTCTGTGTCGGTTAAGGACCGGCCGTTGTATTGGATTCTAGTCAGGTCATAGACTTA